ATAAAAAAATTAATTGAAAAATCCAATTATAATTATAAGATTTCTACTAAAGATTTCAAGACTAAAAAAGAACAAATGAGATGATTTACAATTCCTTCCATCAATGGAATATCTAATAAGTTCTGCAAATTTATTAAGTCTGTCTTTTAAGGTGGTTGTTCATTATAGTATCAATAAACTTAAAAAATTTATTACTATACACAAAGAACCTTTGCAAAGATTTTCCAAAAGGAATGTGATTTACGAGATCGAATGCGATCGTGATTGCGATTCCTATATAGGCCAAACGGGAAGAAAACTAAAAACGGGATTAGCAGAACATCGTAACCATATATGTAGATTTACATCCACTCGTTCAGTTATCACAGAGCATAGAATGTATTGCAGTTATGACTTCGACTGGGATAATGCGAGAATTCTGGATACTGAGAGAAATTGTAATAAACGAACAATGTCGGAGATACTCTACATAAATTGCTAATCAAATGGTCTCAACATTCAAACTGACACTGAGGCATTAAATTATGGTTTAAGCCTTTTATAAATATTTTTCATAAATTTGTATTTGCCTATAATTGTGAATTTAAGACTCCTTTAATGCTCTTATTTAAAAATACTATTAAACAAATGACAAGTAATATTAAAAGATCAAGTATTAGCATATAATGGCCGGGAGTACATTTTAAATTTTTACCTTAAAACGACAGATACTAATGAGAATTAATATAATGGTGGCCAACTGTACGATATGATCAATGTATATTCTTCCATATATCAGGAAAACGTTGATGTGTACTGGATAGTAAAAGAAGTATATAAGAAGGCTCCATTTGGCCAAAGCATACAGGCAAGAAATATATGTCCTAAGTTGTCCAACAGGATATTCGAACATGCCCAAATTGCAGAACCCGCCGATGACCATTAATGGTGCCAGCGCTCTTTCTAGTGTCTCTGTCATAGTTTCCGAGTGGTCGGCTAATATTCTAACTGAATTAGTTCTTGCTGCTCGAGACACAAACACGTTTTAATATTTTTTATATGATTTTCAGATATAGTTTTCGCAGTTTCTCTAAGAACGTTGTGAGAACTACACTGTAAGATATGTACACTGGGAGATATATAATGTATATTAAATGCCGTTCAACCAACAAGTATTGAACAACGGAATAGACACAGATAATCTAGATTAGATTGTCTTTCTTTTCACGGAATTTTTATTTATAGATGTATGTATATTAAGGTCGCTAGATATGGATCACCCTTGAAAAAAAAATTCATATTTTTATCTAGAACGATATCAAACAGTTAATGAAATATTTTATA